GGCCTGTTCACACCACTGTTTCAACCGGTTGAATTTCACAGCTAATTCAATTCATTCCGGTGGAAGTGGGGCAGCTGGCATCAGTTTCAGGGGCAAAGTAAATTTGTGCCATTTACTGATGGCGAGCCGTCTTGACAGCGCTGACCTTTGAGGGTGCACAGAGCCCACTAGAGAGTCCAGAATGGAGGAAGCCGCTGTAGCTTATTAGCTGTGTTGCACCATCCATTTTTATTCGACCTCCTCCGACAGAGAATAAAACGCTTCACGAAAGAACAAACGCGGAACGGTAGAGAAAAACTAGTTAGTGGTGAGCGGTGAGCTCGGCAGCAGTGTGCTCACCACGCTGCAGCTCTAACAAAGGTGCCCATGCTTTCCTCTCTGCCTGCGGCTGTCTTGACGTTTGCTTGGATGATGAACTGTTGGACTCTTTACATGCTACTTTCAGTACAATGTGCTGTGAGCTCATATGAAAATAATGTGTTCGACCTTTACACCTCCTTCCTTCATTCTTTGTGCTTCTGTGTTGCCTTTTACTCTCCTGACTCCTCTTCCTCCATCTCCTTCGCCTTCTCTTAGGTGTGTTGCCATTCTCAGCACCCATCTTCCCCTTCCCTCCCCCCCACACTGACTGCGTTGAAGCCCATCGTGTGTGCACCGCCGACCCTCCCTGCAAGGCGCTGTACCGGGGCTTGGAGCTATGTGCCGCCGACGCAATGGTGTCTCCGCTTGGGGAGCAGGCGGCGTCCGAGTGCCTGGAGGGACGGGACAATCTGCTGGCGAAGCACCCCTCTCTGTGGGCCTGCAAGTGCCAGCGTGGCTTCCGCAAAGAGGAGCAGTGCCTGCGCATATACTGGGGGGTTCGTCTGCTACCAGGTGAGGAGCTGGGGTTGGATTGTAGCCATGTATGTGGGTGCATGTCTGAATCTGGGTTACCATGCAGTACTGTTAGAAAAGCTAAATTCTGACATGACTCTTCAAATTAAAAAAAATGCTTTATGTACAAAACAGCTCAGGAGTCCAGAATGAATCATGTGCACAATTATGATTTAGGTAGAACCACATTAATCTTGTTTGCTCCCATTTGTTCTCAATTGTGTATATTTTATTTTGCAGACGTGTAAGATCACACTCATAAATAAATAAATGAAGATAATTATAGTTTTCATTTTGCCTGTGCTGTGCAGTTGGGTCAGAACACATGACAGAATCCAGACGGCAGGTTGCCAGCATCATGTTTAAAGCTGCACCAAACAATATTTATCACAAACAAAGGCTCAAATCTGTAAAGGGCCATGCATCCTGGCAAAACCAGAGAGCATTATCACCAACTCTGTAAAGCCTTTTAGTGGCTTTCAGTTGAGAGCTCTGTTTTTAAAGCCCATAAATTTACCGTTGTGGTCTCACCCATTCGCTAACACTGGAACGGGAACACTTATATAAATATATAAGCAATGTCGTGGCAGCGTGTGAACAAATATCGTGCAGCTTTAAAGGAAAGTTACATTTTCTCTGTTAATTGTGGCTCCAGGAGCTGTTTAGCAGAAGTTATGTATCCTCACTTCTAAGGAAACGGCTGGCTTTTACCTGTACTTTTCTTATTGACAACAACGGTAATAATGATATGCTCTGTAAAAACGTATCTGCATTTTTCAATTTTTAGAAACACAATACTTGTGTTTAGTAAGGCCTTGTAATTTCTAACATTTCTCAAACGAGAGGAAGTTGTGGATTTATTGGAAACTATTTTCAGTGGTGGATTAACATTTGGTGCTTTTGTGAGCATTCATGGCAGCAGGACAGTGTATGTGGGATTGAATTTAAAAAAAAAAGAAACACATGGACACAAGATGCACATTGAACACATGTAAGGAGGATGTTCATTGTTGGTTTTGGGCTTTTCCTTTCAAACTCTGCAGGATATTCAAAGTTTGTGCTGCATCATTTAATCTGAGTCATCTGACACTAACAGCACACATTGGGTGTAGTAGTTACAGGAGGTTAGCTGGAATGTGCCATTCTGGTAAACAACTGACATTTTATTGCAGCTATAAAAGTGGAACATGTTTTACTAACTAATCATATACAAAAACAAAAAAAAAGAACAGAGAAAAAAAGAAATCTGCAAAGTGTCTGGTAGGTATAGCTGTCAGATAATAGCAGTAAAAACCAGTCGATAATAATCCACTTGTTGCTTCCATCACTGGTGGTTTACTGAGAAGCCAACATGTGCAGGTGTTTTTTAGATATATATATTTTTTTGGGGGCTTTTCTGCCTTTAATGTATCGGACAGTGAAAGAGTGACAGAGAAACATGGAGAAAGGACACGGAGCAAATGAGCTGCTGGCTGGAATCGGACCGGCGCCGCTGCGTCGGGGACTATAGCCCCTGTACATGGGTCACCTGCCCGACCTGTCGAGCTGTCCGGCCGCCCATGTGCACGTGTTTTGACACATATTGTCTGCTGCTAATATCAACACCTTTAACCAAATCTGAAGCTTCCTGTTTAACCATAAACAGCATAAACGTGTGTCATAATCCCAAACCGGCGTCATGTACAAGAGAAAGTGAAGTCCAGTCAAACACCTCACTCAGAACACACACACACACACACACACACACACACACACACACACACACACACACACACACACACACACACNACACACACACACACACACACACACACACACACACACACACACACACACACACACACACACACACACACACTCAAAGTCGCGGAGGCATATCCGAAATGCTGGTGAGATGTGTGCATCAGTAAGTGAGCTCACACTAGCCAGCGGACTCCTCCTCCCCTGTGGCCTATTAGTCACTGGAGCATTAGTGTAATTACACACTCTTCAGTTCCCAACGCTGCTAGGCTGCTCTAGCGTGTCATTACCATAAATATATAGCCTGGAATAGGATTTACATACATAAACACTTTACATGCTATTACATTCTTGATTGAGTTTGTACTTTGGAGTATGCTTAAATAATTTGTGGAACAAACGGCTTGTCCACTAGTCAATCAAGGCACTGCTAATGGGTTTCACAATTGGACAAAAGCTGCCTTTAATAACATGAGCTCATGGTGACTTTGGATTTGGCCCCCTATCAGTCTTACCCTTCGTTTTGTCCATGTTGATGAGATTCAAATGACATAGCTGTGTGTTATTGGTTGATAATGGTTGTTTTTACGACATTACATGCATATAAATTCCTCAGTCCAAATTCATTTTTCAGATATATTCTCCTTTTTCATAACTCTCCTGGGAGGTGGACTCTGCTGAGCAGGTTGTTAGGAGAAACACTGCACATGGTAGGCATAAAAAAGATCAACTGTCCCGTCAAGAAGGGATCTGCTTCACAACAAATCCATATTTGAAGGCTTCTTGTAACTTGTTACTTCAATTGTTCATGTTTTTATGCAGCATGCTTCTTTCCAAGGATGTCATGAGAACATGGAAACCACTTCATGTTTGTGCATTTGTGGCGTGGACAAAGTTAATGGGATCCACAGAGATTCTGTCACTCTTAAACAATAAGTGTTGCAAGGGTCTAAAATACAAGGTTGAGCCCCTTTCTACAGCGCCCGTTGATATGTTGACCTCAGCATTTAAAGTCCTTCACATGTGGAGAGAGATCAGGTGGCCAATCTGAAAATAAATCAAAACTGAATTTTTTAAAAATCCTCAACATTTTGCGGCTCAAGGGGCGTGGCTGGCTTGATTGACAGTCGACAGCGACCATACAGATGAAGTGAGCAGAAGGCGGTAAATGTGGGCGGGCAGAGAGGCCCCGCCTCTCAATCCGTCTGACCAATCGCTGCTCCTATGGCTCCGCCCCCCTCCCACGATTGTTGTGTCACTGGCTCCAAAAATCCAAGATGTCAACCAGGAAGTAGCAAAACCCTGGCTTCATGTTCTCAGTGCAGAAACCAACAGGTGACGTCACGATAGCTACGTCCATCTGTTATACAGTCTATGTGATCATGGTGCAGTTGAACATGGCAGTGTTCTGAACTAAACGTGGAGTTACCTTTGCACTAACAAAAATAACCATTTATTAATGTGACACAGGCTATCTAGACATTCTAAATAGAAATAGATCTGTAGATTTAAATTTAGTATGGACACCATGAGGGAAATCTTGACAGGAGCTCTTCACAGTATGGTCCAAGTCACACTGTGAAGGCATAAAATATGAACAGTATGTAAGGGTTACAACAAACGTTCTTTATGAGGAGGAACTGTGAAAGAAGACTCTCGGTCATCCGCCCCCCTATAATTAATCAGAATGACTTAACATGGATCAAAGCACATGCTGGATTTGTATCTGTCTTAAGGAGGTTTGGTACCACTACAGTGCCCATGCACACAGAAAGGCACAAGTAAGTTGTACATCCTCAACAACACAACTACATGCTGAGGGTGCGAAAGCTGTTGTTGGCAGTCATCTGTCAGCTTGTACTTTCTCCTGCATGCTCCTCATGCTGGTGCAGATGGTTGATAGTACAGACAACATTGAGCAAGGTTAAATAATAAGGATTAAAAAAGGCTCAGCAATTTGTAAAGCGAATGTGATCATAATTAATGTGAACTGTGAATGAATGGAAAAATGTTAACGTGATAAGTGCTTTGCAGAGTCCTTCTCTTCAGAAAATAAGAGCAAATCTGCCTTCCCACAGTTATTTTTTCATACTTGATTATATTTGTGTTGTTGAGAGAAGGTGAAATAGAAGTCAAGACCCGCTCAGTGAGTTCTGTTTATTCTGGTAGGTGGTAGAAGGTGGAGGACATTAGGTGTGGGTGAGTACTCTCTACTGCTACATTATGAAGGGAAAGTCATAGAAGTAAGGAAGTTAAAGTTTTTGAATGTGCACACGACTGGCTTTACTTCAGGGACGTCTCTGCAGTGCCGGAGATGCAGGGGGAGGCCTTTGTTCTCCTAATTAGCTTTTGGGAAGTAAATGTCAGTTCGGTACAGTGAACTGTCAGGAAACACACAGTCCAATTTAATTTAGAGATAGAACTGAATATATCACAGAATCATTTACTTTGCACACGGAGCAGGTTGGTGGTGAGGCCAAGTGAAGTATGTTTGATGTGTTGTCAGCGATTTGAGACAGAACTGTGTTTCTGGGTGATCTGCTAGTTTAGATTCGGCATGAGTCATGTTGACACCAACGTTCTTTTAATAATTGCAGGATTTTCCACCACTGTCATATCTCTTTTATGTATCATTGTCTATGACTCATTTCTTGCTGATGGCCCCATAAAGTGTTATTTTGACTCTTATGCAGTGACGTAACCAACATGGATCACGCCGTCATCTGGGATCAAACTGGGACCATATTCTGAAACAGTTTTGAAAAGTCATCATGACACTTTCAGTTTCAGTTGCTAAATGTGCATTTATATAACATGAACTTGTACTTTTTCACGGACACGTATCCCCTCCATTTTTTAATGAGGCTGATGCTAATTTATCAAACAAAAAACGTACGTACTTTCTTTTAGGGCTGGTCCAAATAGCAATTTCTGGGTTCCGGATATTGGGACAAATATCCGAATGTCCGGATCGCAAAATCAAAAGAACAAGATGGTGTAACTGAAAGAGTGTTGTTCAAACCTCACACAGTGAATATGATTACATGTAGCATATACAGCACATGTTCTTTGGTCAGATGAGACCAAAATAAATATGTCTGAGCATGTTTGACATGAACCTGGCCAGGACAGCCACAGTGAATGCATACAGCCGTGGCCAAAAGTTTTGAGAATGACATAAATATTAATTTTCACAAAGTCTGCTGCTTCAGTTTTTATAATGGCCGTTTGCATAGACTCCAGAATGTTACGAGGAGTGATCAGATCAACTGCAATTAACTGCAAAGTCCCTCTTTGCCTTGAAAATGAACTTAATCCCAAAGAAGACATTTCCACTGCATTCCAGCCGTACCACTGAAGGACCAGCTAACATCATGTCAGTGATTCTCCCGTTAACGCGGTGTGGGTGTTGATGAGGTCAAGGCTGGAGATCAGTCTGTCATGACTGAGTTAGAATAACAGACTGGATGCTTTAAAAGAAGAATGGTGCTCGACATCATTGTTCCTCCTCTGTTAACTGTGGTTACCTGCAAGGAAACACGTGCGGTCATCACTGAGTTGCACAAAAAGGGCTTAAAAGGGACGGATATTACAGCAGGTAAGATTGTACCTCAGTCAATCAAGATCATCAAGAACTTCAAGGAGAGAGCTTCAGTTGTTGCAAAAAAAGGCTCTAGGGCACCCAAGAAAGTCCAGCAAGCACCAGGACCAGCTCCTGAAGTTGATCCAGCTGTGGGATCGGACCACCACCAATGCAGAGCTCGCTCAGGAATGGCAGCAGGCAGGTGTGAGTGCATCTGCAGCACAGTGAGGTGAAGACTTTTACAGGAAGGCCTGGTGTCAAGAAGGGCAGCAAAGAAGTCACTTCTCTCCAGAGAAAACATCAGGGACAGACTTGTATTCTGCAGAAGACACAGGGATTGGACTGCTGAGGACTGGAGTAAAGTCATTTTCTCTGATGAATCCTCTTTCTGATTGTTTGGAGCATCTGGAAAAAAGCTTGTTTGGAGAAGACAAGGTGAGCGCTGCCATCAGTCCTGTGTCATGTCAACAGTAAAGCATCCTGACACCATTCATGTGTGGGGTTGCTTCTCAGTCAAGGGAGTGGGCTCACTCTAAAACACAGCCATGAATAAAGAACGGTACCAGAACATCCTCCGAGAGCAACTTCTCCCAACCATCCAAGAGCAGTCTGGTGATGAACAAAGCCTTTTCCAGCACGATGGAGCACCTTGCCATAAAGAAAAAGTAATAACTAAATGGCTCGGGGAACAAAGCATAGAGTTTTTGGGTTCATGGCCAGGAAACTCCCCAGATCTTAATCCCACTGAGAACTTGTGGTCAATCCTCAAGAGGCAGGTTGGCAAACAAAAATCCACAAATTCTGACAAACTCCAAGCATTGATTATGTAAGAAAAGGATGCCATCAGTCAGGATGTGGTCCAGAAGTTGATTGACAGCATGCCAGGGAGAACTGCAGAGGTCTTGAAAAAGAAGGATCAACACTGCAAATACTGACTTGTTGCATGAACGCAGTGTAATTGTCAATAAAAGCTTTTGATACGTATGAAATGCTTGTAATTATATTTCAGTATACCAAAGAAACATCTGACAAAAACACCTAAAAACCCTGAAGCAGCAGACCCTGTGGAAAGTTAGTATTTGTGTCATTCTCAAAACGTTTGGCCACGACTGTCGTACTGATAGTGAAGCACGGAGGTGTGACGATGTGGGGCTGCACGAGTGAAAAGCTATTGTTGGGGAGTAGACATATATAGATGCCACCATGAGTGCCTGCAGATATATAACATACTGGCCGACAAGATGACTCCCAGTCAGCAGAAGCATGATAACGATCCAAAGCCCAGTTCAAAATCACACAAATGTTTCTGAAGTAGAAAAAAGTGAAAATAGGACATGGCCAAGTATGGCACTGACTGGAGACTAACAGAACACCTTTGGGGATATTTGTGGACATTGGCATCCTCCGTACTGACCAGGACTGTGTCTGTCTTCAAAAATTATGTGGGACATCGTAAAACTAAGCTAGTTGTTAGATTTTTATTTTAAATTCGAGTAAACACCCTGCTGATTAACTTATAAATGATGCAGTCACTACAGCGTGATAAAATTTGAACTCATTTGACATGAGATGGATATAAAACACTTTATATGAAAACAAGTGTTAGTTTTGAGGAGACTCTCAGTCATCCACTCCTTTATTGTCAATCATAAAAGAGCTGCAATCAAATGAATCACTGCTGAACTTACTTTCAACAAGAACAACTAATGTTTGTCAGTACTGAATCGTTGGAAACAAGCACATTACTGTGTTTAGCACAGCAAAACAACCTTTTCATGAGTTTAGAGTGTTTCTGTGTTAGTTTACAACTGGTTTGGATTTTTGACCCAGTACATTTTCACAGAGAAGTTAGAGTAAAAATAGTTTTGTGGTGTACCCCAAGGTTCAATCCTGGGTCCCATTCTCTTTCTGTTTAAAGTAGAGTTGTAGCTGTTTTTCTATATATTATGGACAAAGGACTTTCCTGAAAAACTGGCAGTGTAGTAATGTAGTTTGATCATTATGTTGTTGCATGTGATCCACATGGTCAGATTATATTGAAATGTTTAAAACGGAATACATGCTTCCAGTTGTTAAAAACATAATGCCTTGGTTACAGTATTCAGCTCTAAGATTGAGGGTGGAGGTACTGTTGGGGATGGGGTGTTAATTGGTGGTGTTTTTCCATTTCTGTTCTATTGTTCACCCAAATGTTTGTCTTAGCGTTGTTCCAACAAGCTTTATTGGTTTGCCAGTGTTTTATATGCTTCTTTTTCCTCAGGGGAAGATGAGCTGGAAACATCTCCCTATGACGACACACTAGTGGATACTCGCATGGCCTCTTTAGTGTCAGGTAAACACACACACACACACACACACACACACACACACACACGCAGTACTTGCCATAATTAGGCTGTTTGAGTCAGTGTCCATCACAGTCACACATGAAGTATTTATTGGCAGACAGCTCTGTAGGTCTGCTGCACTGGTCATACAAATACCATGCCAGGGAAGCAAATCAATTAATCACTAGGACGCCAATATTAATATGCATCAGTCAGTACACTAGCAAGAGGCTACGCTGCTTTTTTTCACTGGTCATCTCTGCTTTTAGTTCGTCCATGTCTGCCAGGTCCACATACATACATACATACATGCAAAGATTCAAACCCAGCCAGTAGCTGTGAGGTGATAGGTGTCGCACCACCACACTGCCCAAAGTTAGGATTATAGCAAATAAAGTCCTGCCAATCATTATTGCTAAGTGTCCGGCATTAACGTGCTTTCACATCAGGACGCACACCTTCCTGCATTGGCATTGGTGAGTAGCAGACTCAGCCATAAGAACATACGTCCATCATAGAGTGGACAGTTCACACCAGCCCTCGATTTCTTGCTGCCTCCTACATCTTCACATTTCTGTCACCAAGCATTTCCCTGATGTTCAGAGGGTCTCTGCACACATTACACATTAGTCATGATTAAACTGGAATGTGAATGGCACTGGAGAGACTTGTTGCAGGTGTTGTGAATATTAAGCTCATGTAATTTTATTTACAGTATTACGGCATGTCCTTTTATGTATTGTGTACATCTTCTTGTGTAGTCTACTGCTCAACATGTATTCCATCTGTGTATGTTTGTTTTCTGCCTTCTCTGACACCGTTGTTCTAACGTTCCTCCCCAGTCTCATCTTTCATGCAGCTGGACGGTGAGAACCAATGCCTGAAGGCAGCACAAGACTGCGGCCTGTATGAGAAGTGTGGGTCGCTGCGATCAGAGTACGTCCTGGCCTGCACCAAGCGGGTGCCCGGGACCACCCGATGCAACCAGCACAAGTGCCACCGAGCCCTGCGACGCTTCCTGGAGCGGGTTCCTGAGGAGTACAGTTTGGGTGTCTTGTTCTGCCCCTGCACCAACACCCTGTGTGGTGAGAGGAGGAGGAAAACCATTGTGCCCTCCTGCTCCTACCAAGACATGGAGGGTCTGCAACACAACTGCCTCCATCAGCAGAGCTTCTGCCGTCGAGAAGACATCTGCAGGTTAGAAATGAAGGCCAGAAAAAATGTAGTACTTTAAAATGGCTATAATGGTGTTATATGAGGTACTCTGATTGTATATTTATTGTATAATATTACTGATTACATACAGTATGGGTTTAATCTCATTGCAGCTCACCAGTTTTAAGCTATAAATTGTGTCGACTGTGAAACTATGAGGAGTTTAGAGTGTTGGAATGCTTGTTGTGTTGTGGCTATTGCATGGCGAGCGCAAATAGTTCAAAATAGGAACAGATAATCCTTCACGTCAGTGAACCAGGATGTCATCGTTTGCATTCATCAGTGACAATATATATGTTTTCTTGCCATCTCTGGTGTTCTCTGTGATGTGTGAGATTTTTCAAGCACTTGCGCAGTCAGAGAGTATTAATGTAACATGATTGTTGTGGCCATCACCACGGCCTTAAAGGTTGGTGTATTTACTGACCAAAAACATGCTTGTTATCCAGGAACAGACCAGCACTAGTCAGTCACGGTAGTCGTTCAGTTGATGGTTGTGCTTCATTTGAGTAGAGTTCTATAAAATTAGCTTTTGCTCTGTCTGTTTATGGTAAAGCGGTGCTCCATCTCGCTATTTCCTCAGAACTCAACACCACAAAGATGGTTTGCTAGTGGTCCACAGTACCATGTGTCAGCATTCCTGATGTTGACCTCCATACAAATGATTGTCATGGATTGTGAATGAATTTGTGGATGCTGCTTACACAGTTACTATATACCACACTGGGCCTAATGTAAGACAGCTATCCCTTTTCCAACATCTGTTTTTTTGAGAAAAAGACTTTCACAAAAGATCTCCTCATTACCAAAGCCGTTCCTCTTGTATAGTAAAACATAAGTCAACCAAATCCCACACTCACTCCGTCAGGCTCCTGGAGCTCACAATCATTTTCTCTGACAGGTGATTTTTTATTTTATTTTTTTTTCAAACTGTCAATTTCAGGTCATCATTTGTGACAGCTGGAATTCTTGGCTGTTTGAGAAATGTTGCCCGTGCTTCATTTCTGCAGTGAAGACGTTGGGAGACTCCATGAACTTGTTTTCAACCATCATGAATTCATAGCATATAGGATGTAGGACAGGAAACACTTTGTGGAAAACCCAAATTAAGGCTACAAACAGCTCACAATGCAACACTGTGTAGATGACTGGAAAGATGAGAAAAAGTCTTATATTTGAGCCAAGTACAACATTTTGAACTGATAATGATGATTATTGAAATAGATTTTTGTGTGTAGAAGCTTTCCCACCCTCTAATGTTTAATGTGAAGGCAGCTGGTATAGACGGTGAAATATGCATCGAACTGCCTCAGGAACCAATAATGAAAGGACAGATAAAAGACAAGACTATAGACGAACAACAATGTGCCAATGCTTTGCAAAAAAAAAAAAAAATACAAAAAATAAAGCATTTGGTGCTCGACTTAAAACTGTGCATCTGAACCTAAATTTACATGCACACAAACAGACTCTCAACATACACACCCACCCTAATTTCTTGCCTCCACTTCATGTTTGATGCTGAGTTGTTGTTTGTGTTGTTGCCAGGTCCAGACTGGCTGATTTCCTTAACAACTGCCAGCCATCTCATCTGACGGCCAGCGGCTGTCTGAAAGACTCACCAGGCCTCTGCCTCCGAGCCTACGCTGGACTCATAGGTACAGAACACAAGGAGACGGGGGGATGGAGGAGGAGCAGCTGAATTACATAAAAAGAGAAGGCTGCGTTGTATCGCCACCAAGACATAAATCTGTGATAGATACCTCAGACAGAGGCAGAGGAAATGCTGCAGTTTGGCAGTGATTTTAACCAGAATGTAAAACATTATGAAAACATTTATCAACCAGCCAGCCAAAGTAATTTTATAATTGCAAAGAAATGACTATTGCCACCTGTGTTGTCTGCAGCTCAAAGTATGTGTGCAATGAAACCACTGAGTGGGCAGAAAGAAAAAAAAAAAGGTAATTAATCTAAAAGTCAAAGTTTCAGATCATACGATGACAGAGGAAGTGTGAGATAAATGCAAAAGATGTTAGCTAACTAGCTAGCCTGTCTGCTTTCTTTTTAAGTTCTGTGGTTTGTTTTCTTCACTCAAACACTGAAATTCACCACATCATGTGAGCTACAGCAGCTCAATGGGTGGTTGTGTTTTATCATAAATGAGCACACGTAAATGAGCGTCATTTATATTCAAGTCAGATGGATTTTTATCAGCACCGGTGGTGAAGACTTCCGTGACCCCCACGCCGCTTCACAACATCATCAACCTGCATCTTTTGTTGTTTTCACTGAGAGACTCTTAGAAACTACGTCCTGTTGACTCATCTAATTTCACCAATCCCAGCCTCCTCGACTCCTCAGCTGTCCAGTCTTTGACCTGGAAATCAATTGTCGCAAAGGAACGTCTCAATTCCTAAAATGCACCTCGGCTTGGGAGGATGGAGGAGGCTGCTGGAGGTGCTCTGAGTGAGGATGCACAGGTGGATTCCGACTGCGTCCTCGATGAACTCGTGATATAAAAGAGACGTAAACACACAGCTGGAATACACAAACAATGCCGGCAGCAGAATGTGTGCAAGTGATAAATAGCGCTAATTATTAATACATGTCGCTCTTTGTGTTTGCGGTGCCGTTTTGTGTGCCACAACACTTTTATGCTTCACACTGCACGTGCATGGTAAATTAAAATAAAAAAAGTGGGAGATGCGAGGATGTGCAATTAGTGAAGTCAGATAAGGGGTATGTGTAGATAAGTGGGGTAACAAACAAAATGTTCTGCTCCTATGTGCTTCTATGGCTCTTGTGTTTTTTACCAACATGTTCAAATCTCTGAAAAAGAGAAGAACATTATGTACGTTATGGTTGTCATGAAGGACTGCAACACATGGCAACGGTGAAATCAACATTTAGTGTACGACAGTGACTAAAACTTGATTTAGTTTTTTTCATTTTAAACATTAATACATTTCCATACTCTACTATGAGCTCTTTTGCATCCAAAGTAAGTGGTTGGAACTTCTGCCTTCTGGGAGACTTCCTTCTGAGGTTTTCTGAGCATGTCCACCTGGGAGGAGACCACAGGGTAGACCCAGAACTTGCTGGAGGGATCATATATGTCATCTGGCCTGGGAAGTCCTCGGGCTCCCCCAGGAAGAACTGGAAATGGTTGCTGAGGGGACAGACAGCTGGAATGACCTGTTTTATCTGCTCCCTCTGCGATCCAACCTCGAATAAGTGAGAGATAATGGATGGATAGATAAATACATCTCCATCCACTGGAATCCATACCATCGGCTCGACTCGTTGCTTTAGCACATGAACATGCTGGCTTGCATGAAGAGAGGGAGTGAACTGAAGCCTGAAGACCAAGACACTGAGGTTAAACCAGAAAAGAAGAAAGAAACAGTCACTAAATCCATCAACAGAGCTAATAATGCAAAAATCAATCAATCAATCAGAGTCCAGCAAGGAGTGGACGGGTGAAAGGATCGAGGTCGGAGCAGGAGACAATGTGCAGGAAAAGACTGCGAATGGAGGGATCAGACAGGGCAGAAGTGAAGGAGAAGAAGCAGCAAGATAGAAAGTGAGGTGGCATGACAGCTGACAACAGATGTGGATAGAGTAGTGTTGAGTGGCTTTCTGTTCACTCTGACAGTGATGGATGACTTTTGTATCAGGCTCATAGCTTTTTTAAAGGTACAGTCATTTACACTGAGGCAGGCTGCCACAGATAGACTCCTGTCGGATGTTGTCTTTTTTTTTTTTGAAAAACGGGGAAAAAGGGAAATGAATTAAGAAGTGGTATTGTAAAGTGTGTCATATCCAAAACTCAGTGTTGGCTAATAGCTATGTGTTTATATATAAATGAATGAATGAATGAATGAATGAATATATATATAAATAAATAAATAAATTTCTCTGAGAAGTCAGAAATTAATCAGGCATCACACTTTTCTGTTCAGTAATGCAAGTAAATAATAATTTACCATCTTAATCAAGAAATAATAATGTGCTTTACTGTTTTTGTTTTTTTCAGGGTTTTTTTTGTAAATTTTAAAAGTAATGGAAACAACAATAATGATAATTTTGCATTAAATGATCATTCTGGTTAAAGAGCTTCTCCATCCTGGTGTCATGACAGAAACATAAGAAATGATTGTGGTGATTACTAATGCTGTTAATTGTGGGCAGCTGTGGCATAAACCTGACACTGGGTGGTGTTCCAATAAATATAACCAATAACAACACCCAGACAGTTACGGTTATCTAAACTCTTTTGGTTTCTGGTGACAGAAGCCTTGACAGTCAAAACGATTCCATGTGTAAGTCCACCATTCACCTTAGCCGTCGTCAGTACCTGGATTTCCAACAGAATGTAGAAAACATGGTTTCTGTGTCTGTGGAATTACTCACAAATCTTCTCAGAGCTTTTTCTTTGCAAATAGAAAATGTCTGTATGACTGATGGAAGCTCACCTAAAGACCAGCGTGTGTTCAATCCAAACGTAGCACTTCCTATACAATGCTGCTGCTACTACTAATGATAATAATAATTCTAAACATAATTGTACAATATGTATAAAAAAATATATACTAGTCAGAAAGACAATATCTTTCTCCACACACTGTCATGGATGAGCAGCTTTGTTCTGTATACGTGTACTTTGTTGGAGACAGGCTTCTCCTGTCGGGCAGAAAACTGCTTCCACTGATCTAAACCACGATGGTGGGCTTTAGGTGTAATTTCAAGAATATGTAGCTTGTAAAATATTTGGTTTTTTCGCAATTTAGATGAGAGTTGGATTAGAAGAAGTGTTAAATATGGAGCTGAGGTCAGGAGGTGGTAACCCTGGCTTACCATAAAGGGTGGAGGCAGGTGGAAGTCGTTGGCCTTCCGCCTGCAGCTAATGGATTAACACATTAGATCCACTGTGTTAAATCCAAACACACACAAAATGTGGAAAGCAGAATTTGTGGTTGCCAGGTGACCTGACAAGACTGTAAATACAATAAACTACCATTTTTAAATTCCAGTCTGTGTGCAGACTGACTTTTGTCCTGTGGCCGAGCCTGGGTAGTTGTTTTCTGGTTCTGGGTTTCATGCTCAGCTTGGCCGACTGCTCTCCAGCTCCACCTTTAAGCTTGATGCACAGACATTAGATTCACTTTAACATCAAACTATTAGAAAAAAGCAAAAGCATTGCATTTTTAAAAACATCAAACTGCTTCTTTAGATGTTGTAGTGTTTGTGTTGCAGTCAGGCATGGGGTTTGCTCACTTAGCTCAATTTAAAATTTGGCTTTTCTGGCTCTGAACATTGCCAAAATGGCACCAAACGGAAAACACTATCTTCTCCAGGCTTTGATATATCTCTTCAGTTCCTTCAGGGAAGGTCATTGAGTCGACATCATGTTGCTCTGCAGGCAATGGTTTAGCTGGAAAAGAACAGAAACCATTTGTGTTTTGGCCCGAGAACAATTTCCCACCAAATTGCTCAGAGTAAAAATGCACTGCAGAAGCCAGTGGAGGCTTCCAGTCCTTTAGAACATGGTGTCAATAAAATGAAACATGTAGACCCTCTGACTTGTCCAAAGCTAAGACTCTTTCAAAAACCTTTGACCCTTCTGTGCACAGGTACCATCATGACGCCCAACTACATCAGCAACAGCTCTGCAGACGTATCGCTGTGGTGCAACTGTGAAGGCAGCGGCAACCAGTGGCAGGACTGTCAAAGACTGCAGCGCCTCTTCACTCACAACACCTGCCTGCGTGAGTCTACGCTGTCTTTACATACGTGTTTCATGTGCTGGTCTACGGGTTTCTATTGGCATCTGGTATAAATTGGTTCCAGTATGACATTTTTATTAGACTGTTAGCTACAGTATGTTTTTATTTGCAGCGTCTGTATTTGTGGTTGACAGGTTTTGTATGGCTGTGCCTATACAGAGAGCACAACCAGGACTGGTGGCTGCATCTTCTGTAGTCTACAATAGCTAAATTACATTTCTGTTAATCAATGAGTTAACCACACAACAATAGCAGCTCTGTGCTTTAAAGGCAGACAGTGGGCCAGTATCAGTTTTCTTGTCTTATTCACAAAAAGACAGCAAATAATCACATTTCCAAAATGTCAGACTGTCCTTTTGAAGTGTTTTCCTTCGTTTTTGCTGCTGAAGCCATTCATGCAGCACAAAATAGGGTGAAAGGAATTCCTCAGAGATTTTCTACATGTAAGGATCTTATTTATTTACAGACGTTTCCTGAGGACATGGCTTAAGCTACTCCGTGCAGTCAGTTTTTTCTAATAAAATATTTCCTTATTAAAAGATAAGAAAATTCTTTCTAATGGTTTATTATTTGTTTCTGTCCCATGATGCTCAGATCCTTCTAACCCTAAAGCACTTGAATGTCTAGATTTGTGGGATCACGGTGCAGTGGTTAGCACCGTCACCTCAGAGCACCAGGGTACTGATGTTGAACCTTCTGGACCAGGGGTGTCCAATCCTGGTCCTCGAGGTTCAAATGATCAGCTCCTCATCAAGCTCTGCAGAAGCCTGATAACGATCCTGATCATTTGAACCAGGTGTGTTGGAAGAAGGGAAACATCTAAAACATGCAGGACTGTGGCCCTCCAGGACCAGGATTGGACACCCCTGTTCTGGACCCGTCTGTGTGAAAACCCGCTGGCCAGAGACATGCATGGGAGGTTAATTGGTGATTCTAAATTAGCTGTAGGTGTGAGTGTGAGCCTGCGTTGTTGTGTTTTGTGAACTCTGTGATGGACTGTCAACCGGCCGCATGCCCAGCGTCACCTGGGATCCACTCCAGTCCCCCACAGTCCTCACACAGTGATTTGAATATAGGCAGCCACATTAAAAAAGAACAAAACAAAAAACAAAAAAAACTTACTATGCATATTGATTGTTTTAATAAAATCTGTTTTAAATTATGTATCTGAGGAGCAGAATTAAGAAAACAGCATTAATATGTCACCATCAAAGGTGCTGCGAGGAACAGCTCAAAGGGAATAAGTGAAAAAATGAGTTTGACACGATGTCTGCTGAATCTGTCTGGGTGGCAGCCTCCTGCAGCGACGCTCACAGCATGAGCTGAACTCTACTTTATATGTCAGCGACATGCTCCAGCCTTGGCGTCCAGAAGATTCTTACAGCGTGGATGTGCACACGAGGCCTTTGCAGGGCTGGAAAGGTATCAAGAGAGGAGCCGGTGGGTAAAGCCCTCCAGCTGTCACTCAATCACAGCAGCTGTCAATAAGGCCGTCGATACACACTGAGCCCGTATGTCCAAACACTAAAGCCGAGATCGATGCGTCAATGCACTTCCCATAAAGCTTGGTGATTTATCAAGCTGCCGACAGCCTTAACAATAAAGCTGCCAAATAGATATGTTGGTTCACGCCCACTCAGTTGCAGCGACGTAAGCCAGCCGAGCACACACACACACACACACACACACACACACAGAGGCAGTGATGTGGCTGTGTCTCTATGCAGGTAACTCTATTAGCTGGATGGGGAACCCCGGTTCCCTGCCTGCAGACATCACCCAGCCTCCCGCTCCCAGACCCTCCCCGCTGGTTCAGGAGGACGAGCTGCTGAGCAACAACCACCTGCCTGAGCAAAACATCATTGTGAGTATGCTTGAGCTCATCAAGCGCCCTGCCTTCACGTTTTAAATTACCTTTCATACTTTCATCCCAAGGCCTTTTCCATTATCTTTGGTTTGAGCACATCACTGTCACACTGTGCTGTTTATTTATTTACCCTTCTATCCTTTATACCTCTTTTGTTGTGCCAGCATTTGATTTTTGCAGCCTTAAAACTTTGAGCCTGCAAAAATCCAACAGATAATGTTTATATATTTACCAGTTCTCCTAGTTTACCAACTACTGTATGACTTACTATTTTAACTCGGATATGAACAACATTTTTGAGAATCATCAAGATCAATTAGTGGAAAAGGTTTAAAGATTTTCTGAAGAAATTTCCGTTCAATTTTAAAATCACATGCGTTTTGTTGCATTACAGGATATAATCTGGTTGTCAGTGCATCTATGAGTACATTATAAACAGGAACAGCCAGTCCAGCATATTTTCTATGGCCCCGGTTTACCGACATGTAACAAACACAGTCTAAAAACAGATCTGGAAAGAGGCTTGCAGTACATTCATGGCTTCCTCAATTTTCACACAAAAGCTGAATTTTCAAGAAGAAAAGAAGATGTTCCTGTCGAGAAAAATAAACAAAGCAAAGAAGGAGATCCACTTCAGAGTACAACGATGCAGCTCCTGACAGGATTTAAATTACAGGTTGAGCCGTGGGTTTGCTGAAAAACAGGAGGTAGCCTAATTTGAGCTGTGATTATTACCGGGGGAAGGTGTGAAACATTACTGACACACACCAGAATCAGTGGCCAAGGCGGGTAATATTACAGCTTCAATTCACTTAAGTCCAGTTCAGTTTTATTTATATAGTGCCGATTCACAACACATGTCCTCTGTTTGCATAGTAAGATGAAGACCTTACAAACTGTATACAGAGAACTCCAACACATCTACCTTCTTTTGCATTCCCCTTGAGCAAGCACTTAGGGAGAAAAAAGCCCCTTTAGCAGGAAGGAAACCAGCCCAGCAGAGCGAGGCTCAGGGAGGGAAGCCGTCTGCCTCGACCAGCTGGGGTCAGTCAGCCCACCTTCCCAAAGAAATAGGTCCTGTCCAAAGATGGGACTTTATAAAGGCTACAGCTGAAGCACTATGTTAGGTTAGTCTGTGAGCATGTTAACATTTGTTTGTGGATGTTTACTTACAGGAGTGTCGAGGTATTTGTGTAAGTACCATGCTGTGTTGTCCACTCACAGATTCAGCTCAGTCTGAAGGTTGTATTTACTGTTTCAGTGGCCGGTAGGGTAACTGCACACATTTCTCAGTAGTATGTTGTTTAGTATGTGAAGGAAGAGGGGCTTTATCTTTGAACGAGATCTTACTTTAAGGGAGAAACAATACCTCACCTCAAGATACATTTCTCAACTATAACTGACCACACAGTCAAGACTGACTTTATGAATAGTTTTTTTCATGTAAATGGGAAATGGTCTACACTTGCATAGCTTATAGTGCCTTTTGACCCCCAGCTAGGGTCTACAACGTGCTGTACCGTGTGTCTTTTAATGGACCCATCCCTACACTCATTCACCTACTGTGGGGTGCAACTAGGGGTTGTAACTTGCCCAAGGACACTTCAGCAAACGGAGAGGTCAAGGATCAAACCGCCAACCTTGTGATTAGTGGATAACCTGCTCCACCACTGAAGCCATGGGCGCCCATGTTGAGAAAATGATGAGCCAAACATCTAGCGAAGTAGTATTAAAGTATACCATGGATACAGTAGACTTTGATTAGTGCGGCTTTAAGCAATATAGGTGAATTATTTAATTTATCTTCTTGTGCAAATGAAGCTGCAATTGAAACATTCTGAGAAGTTGCAGGCCAGGCATAGCTCAAGCTCATCTCACGGACTAGATTATGAAAATGTAGGAAATGCAGTTCCTGTATTGTGGATGGAGCAAATGATGTGTATAAAAGATAGACGTAGTGTTGAAGCCTTGGGTTGGACATTTGGCTGACTCCATTCTGGTCTTTTAAAACTGAACATAATGAGCTAGCGGCTATCTATCTATCTATCTATCTATCTATCTATCTATCTATCT